CCCACTTACCCACAAAGGAAGAGGAAAGAGAATGGAGGGGCCTGCCCAGTCACTGAGCTGGCAGTGAGGAACCTGTGAGGCCAGGGCATCTTGCCAGGCCAGCCAAGACTCGGGGTGCAGGAAAAAGGGGGCACCCCCTCAAGGGTCCCAGGCTTCTGAGATTGCACCTTTCAGACGTCCCTTTTGTACCCACAGGAGATTCATGGAGATGGTGCCCCACCTCGTGAAGACACACACAGAGCCAAAGGTGGGTGCAGGGTGATGGGATGGAGGAGACTGGGCAGAGCCAAGGCTGAGGACAGCCAGGACCAGAGGGAGCAGGCAGGCCAAGACCACTCCAGGAAAAGCCACTCTCTGGACCACTTGTCTGCAATTTCATCAGCAAGTGTGGAAAGAGGTTCAAAGTGGCTGAAGGGCAAGCTCATCCCATCAGCCATTGAGACCATCTATAGCTCCAGAAGAAAACCTGGACCAAACCACAGCTACAGTACTCTGTGTAAACATTTATTGTTGACTTAGCAAGAATGATGGTAAAGTTAGGTTGAGAGAGTGAGCGCAGAGGAAATACATTTTTGGGGGGGCTGGGGGCATAAAATAGCTCAATCATTCTCTTCCACAATGGAAAATGAGCAGTAGCGTTGATGTCTCATATTGAGATGTATCATAAAACAGCAGGACGAACATATGGTGGGGATTATTGTTCCCTAAAATGATAAATCTGGAGAACCTGCATGTGAGGCAGAAGTTCAGCTGCCACACGGCACACCCACAACCCATTATTGCGGTGCCTGGTTCGAGGCTAAGCTACTCCACTTCTGATCCAACTTCCTGCTGGGAGACAGGAGACAATGACTAACTACTTGGCTTCCTGCCACACACAAGGAAGACACAGATTGTGCGCTGGGCTTCTGGCTTTGGCCTGGCCTAGTTCAGGATGTTGTGGACATTTCAAACATATAAATTTCAATGAATAAGTAAATAACTCATTAAACCTCTAAGTCTGTAAGACTACTTCATATCTTAAGCAATTCACATCCACTGATCTCATTAAAAATGTAATTTGAAATGATCAAGTTATAGTGAGAATAGATGCAGACTCATGGATGGGGGACAAGGTCCTAGGATGCAGCCACTTTGGACGCTGAGGGACATGTGGGTGCTGTGGCCCACTATATATATTTGTTTCCTATTCATTTTACCATGTTTTTCAGCAGTTTAGTATACAATATTGTCCTTTTCAAAATATTTATTTATTTAAAAACAGAGTTACAGACACATAGAGAGAGGTGAAGAGACAGAGAGAAAGACCTCTTCCATTCGCTGTTTCACTCCCCAGATGGCTGCAAGGACCAGAGCTAGGCGAGGCCAACGCCAGGAGCCAGGAGCTTCCTCCAGGCTTCCCATGTGAATGCTGAGGCCCAGAGACTTGGGGGCCCTCCTCTGCTGCTTTCCTAGGCCATAAGCATGGAGCTGGATCAGGAGTGAAACAGTTGGGTCTTAAACTAGTGCTCATATGGGATGCTTAAGTGAATCTTAAGCTACTAAGCCACAATGCTGGTCTCTTTCTTTCCTTCTCTTCAGCCTTTTCACTTATAGGAATTTGACACATTTGAACTGCCAGCATCACTACTCCTGAGCTTTGGGGGCTATTTCTAAGTAACACAAGGGTTACTTGAAAATAAATATGAATACAACAAATATCATGGTCAGTCTAATAAAGGGCAGCACTGTGGTGTAGTGGGATACCAGCATATTTTATAGGAACCAGTTTGTGTCCTGGCTGCTCCACTTCTGATCCAGCTTCCTGCTGTGGCCCGAGAAAGCAGCAGAGGATGACTTAAGTCATTGGGTCCTGTACCATGCACATAGGAGACCTGGAGGAAGCACTTGGCTCCTGTCTTCTGGTTGGCCCAGCTCCAGCCACTGTGGCTATTAGGAGAGTGAATTAGTGGGTGAAAAAATGTCCCTCTTCTTATATCTCACTCTCTCTTACTCTGCTCTGTAACTCTGCCTATCAGATAAGTAAATATATCTTTTTTAAAAAGACTAATATGTGCCCAATTTCTATAATTTTTCATTTAATATTGTTGGAGCTCAATTGACTGCAGGCAACTGAAACCTGTGAAAGAGATTCCAGGTAAGGGAAGAGGGGCTAGTGTGTCTGAAGAGTTCAACAGCTGGTCAGTATAGATACAATTTTCCAATTCAGTAGGTAGCTTCCTGATCTTACAAGAGGTGGATGTTGCCCTAAGATGCCAGCATCTTCTATGAACCCCAGCTCAAGTCCTGGCTGCTCCACTTCCCATCCAGCTCCCTGCTAATGCATCTGGGAAAGCAGCTGAGAATGGCCCAAGTGCCTAGGTCCCTGCACCCATGTGGGAGATCTGGATGGAGTTCCTGGCTCTTGGCCATGCTCCAGTCATCACGGTCACTTAGGGAGTGACCAGGTCAATAGGAAATTACTTTGTGTCTTTGTTTCCCCCGCAAATAAATAATTAAAACTTTAAAAAGAAGAGGAGGCTCTTTGCACTGGCCCTGACCAGTCAGCTCATAGCTGGCTTCTTCAGCATGCCCCAAAGCCCTTTCACTGTTTTTATAGTCTGCACTGAGTCCTTTTACATTTGAAGTCCCTGGAATGGACTTTATTCTCGGAAACTGAACTGAGACAATATGACAGGAAAGCAGAAAATAAACTAAATAAAAAGTGTGGTAGAGCCCAGTGCAGGAGCCTAGTGGCTAAAGTTCTTGCCTTGTATGCGCTGTTGGGATCCCATGTGGGCACCAGTTCTAATCCCAGCAGCTCTGCTTCCCAAGCAGCTCTCTGCTTGTGGCCTGGGAAAGCAGTCAAGGACAGCCCAAAGCCTTAGGACACTGCATCCGCGTGGGAGACCCAGAAGAAGCTTGGGCTCCTGGCTTTGGATCAGCTCAGCTCCGGCCTTTGTGGTCACCTGGGAAGTGAATCATCTGATGGAATATCTTCCTCTCAGTCTCTCCTCCTCTGTATACCTGACTTTCCAATAGAAATAAATACATATGTTTTTTAAAGCATGGTAAATAGCACAAAATGAAACTGAAGATGGTCACTTCTAAAACAGCCTAAACTGCCTGCTCATGTGAATTCACTCTCAGAAGGCCTCAGAATAACCCAGCCTGCTGCCCCTTATCAGAAACCCACGTAAAATCTAACAAGATACCACACAGCAGCTTAAAGTCAATCAACCAACACCAGTAAGCTTCAAAACAGTCTCCACAAGTGAAAAGTTTGCAAAAAGATTATTCAACAGGATCATGAAATTTAAAGACACAGAATCTGGTGTTCTACTTGTAGTGCTGATCATATATACATATACATATACACATAAATGGTAATGATTTTCATTCACCTGAACACAGTGGCTTTTCTCTGGGCAGAAAGAAAGGTTTTCTTGGGCCCTGCACAGTGGCCTAGTGGCTAAAGCCCTCGCCTTGAACGCGCATCCCATAGGGGCACCGGTTCTAATCCCGGCAGCTCCACTCCCATGCAGTTAGTTCCCTGCTTGTGGCCTGGGAAAACAGTTGAGGACGACCCAAAGGCTTGAGTTCCTGCACCCGCGTGGGAGACCCGAAGGAAGTTCCTGGCTCCTGGCTTCGGATTGACACAGCATCAGCCCTTGCAGCCACTTGGGGAGTGAATCAACAGACAGAAGATCTTCCTCTCTGTCTTTCTTCCTCTTTGTATATCTGACTTTGCAATAAAAAGACAAATCTGTTTTTTTTAAAAAAAGGTTTTCTTGTCTAGATTTACAAACATGGAATAAGTCACAACTATTTTGAGTAAATTACAATTTATTGGAGGGGCCAGCACAATGACTCAACTGGCTAACCCTCTACATGCACCAGTATTCCATATGGGCACTGGTTTGAGTCCTAGCTGCTCCACTTCCCATCCAGCTCCTTGCTTATGGCCTGGAAAAGCAGTAGAGGATGGACCAGGTGCTTGGGTCCCTTGTACCCACATGGGAGATCCAGAAGAGGCTTTCTGGCTTCAGACCAGTTCAGCTCCAGCACTGAACTGGCAGATGGAAGAGCTCTTGGTCTCTCTGCCTCTCCTCTCTGTAAATCTGATTTGCCTTTCCAATAAAAATAAATCTTAAAAAAAAAATATTGGAGATTGCCAAGAGACACAGAGAGGGAGAACAGGGTGCTTGCTTTCTTTTTGGGTTCACACTCCAAAGACCAGAAAAGGCTGCAGCTGAGCTAGGCTGAAGCTTGGAGCCTGGAACGAAGCCAGGTTGAAGCGAGCTCAGGCACCCCCAGCATGGGAGTCCGCCCCCAGCAGCGTGTTGTGATAAGGTTTAATCTTGATCGTGTGTGGGGTGTTATGAATGTCACTTCATGTTCACGTCTCCACCGTGATTCCTGTTTCCTAATGGACTCGAAGGGAAAAGCTCCTGAAGCTGCCTGGCTGGTTTTAAAAGATGAGGTGGCCCCTTGCTGAAGGTGGGGTTCCGAGAGGCCGTCCCCCACCCCCAGGGGAGGTCTGGAAGACGGGTCGGGGCTGTGTGGCCATGAGGTTGCCCAGAACTTCAGTGCGTTATCTCCAGCCGGTGCCAAACAGGACCGTTTAAAACTGGGCTCCAAGTGTAGGTCCTCTGGGCAGGGGTGGGGGGAAGACCTGCAAGGAGCAGCTGGGCCCAAGTGACGGCCCCGAGGCGCCGTCTTCGGCCCTGAAGCAAATCGCCGCAGCCCGGAGGGGGCGGGGGCGCGAGCCGAGCCAGGGTCGCGCTGAGGCCGCGGCCGCGTCCCTCAGACCGGGCGACAAACCAGCTCCTCGTCCGGCCGCCGGGCCCTCCCGCTCAGCCGACCGTCTTCCTCCGGACCCCGACGCCCGGGCTCTGGCCCCGGGCCGGTTCCGGGGAGCCTCCGGCCCTCAGAGCCTCCCCCGCGGGCCGGCCGGGCGGGCCGTGCCGAGACCGGGGCGGGGCCGGGCGCGGGGGCGGACCTCGGCGCGCTCCCGGCCGCTCGCTGCCGCTGGGGCCGCCGCGGCTCCTCTGCCGGGTCGCGCCGGACGACGGGGCTTCGGGCGGCGGCCTGGGCGGCCTGAGGACCGACGGCTGGGCCGAGACGCAGGCCCCCCACGCCTGCCGTCTCCCCGGTGCTGCCAGCGCCGGGCCTGCGCCATGGCCGCCTCGCCAGGCTCCGGCAGCGCCAACCCGCGGAAGTTCAGTGAGAAGATCGCGCTACACACGCAGCGGCAGGCCGAGGAGACGCGGGCCTTCGAGCAGCTCATGACCGACCTCACCCTGTCGCGGGTGAGGACGCGGGCCGGGGCCGGGGCCGGGGTTGGGGGTGGCCGAGTGGCGGGCAGGACCCGCGATAGCGGCGGCGGATGAGAGAGGTCGCCGGGCCCCAGCGATGGCGGGGCCGGGCCAGGGCGGCGCCCCGGGGACCAGAGCCCGGGAGCGGGGCCGCAGCGGCCGCGGCCTCGACGCTCCCCACTGTCTTCCCACACCCGCTGACCGTTTGCCCACCTGGTAGAGATGGGAGGGTCTCCGCCCCCGGGTGTGCGAGGTGGCCTTACCGTGAGCACCCACAGCGGGGAGGCCAGACGGAGCCGCTCGGCGAGCCCAGGCAGTGCTGCTTCTCGTGGCTCGGGACACCCGCCCCCGGCGAGCCCTTCGGGGCTGCACGGAAGGCCGCGGGCGCTGCAACGGAGAGCTTGGCCCCGGCGTGGCTTGGCGTCTGTGGAGGAGCTCGGTGGCACGAGGCGATTGCATGTTGAGGGCCAGACTTTCCTCCCTGCCCTGCTTGGAGGTGCTGTCTCGGGTCCAGTTGACTTGGCTGGCTCAACTCCCGACGTGTCTTGTTGGGAACTGACAAGGTGCTGCAGGGTCGCTGGCGACCGAGGGCGCCAGCAGGGGACTGGCACCTGGCGAGGTCGGGCCAACTGCTGAGCAAGGCGATTGGAGGATGGAGCGCCCGTGGCAGTGGCCGCCGGGGCTGCCGCGTTGCGAGGGTCGGCGCGGGCTGGGCAGGCCTTGAGACACCCCCGAAGGCTGACCTTGAAGGACCATGGAGGAGCGTGGGAGGGTGGAGGAGGCTCCACCGGCCGGGAGACAGACAGGGAGCTAAGAGCTGAGGTCCCCTCCGCCGCCGAGCGGCAGACACGTTGTGGCTTGGCCATTGCAGACTTAGGAAAACTTTCTCGAATCTGTTGCAAGTAGAATTTCTTAATTGGGAGACATTGACGGAACCTCCAACTTTACACATTTGCTTGTTTATCTTAAGAGTCTGAGACCCGGTGGCATGCTCATCCTAAATTCCCGTTGGCCCGTTGGCGAGAGCGTTAAGTTTCCTGAGCAGAGCTTGTTTCTGTCCCCCACCCTGAGGCTAGGGCAGTCATTCTCTATGTACTGATTCAAGCTGGTGGCATTGAGAAAGTAGAGGGGGCAGTAAAAGGTTTATGGCTCCGTCACACGAGGGGGGAAGGGGAGGGGGGAATACGCAGAGATAAAAATAACTGAAGATTTCAAGAAAATGTTTTTTGCCCTCACCAGCTTCACTCATTCATCACCTGCTGCCATCCACATTGGCTTTCATGACCTTGATTAAGGCCAAGGAACTGATTGGCGAAATGGCCAACTAATATTGGGGGCCTGAGCTGCTGGGTATTGTTTAGATGCAATCGTTGTTTACACACATTTGTATGAGCTGTATAGGGTCTATCTTGAGTTGATCTGGTCTCGCCTAATTCATGAATCCCTTATAAAATAAGCTCTGCCAGGTGAGGGTGTGAGTAAAGTGCAAACTCTCTCAAAGATTTATTTTAAAGATTTATTTGATTGGAAAGGCAGAGTTACAGAGAGAACGCGAAACAGAAAAAGATCTTCAGTTTGCTGGTTCACTCCCCAAATGGTTGCAGTGGCCAGAGCTGGATCAATCTGAAGCAAGGAGCCCAAGGTTTGGGCCATTCTCTACTGTTTTCCCAGGCCATCTATTCCCAGGGAATGGAATGGGAAGTGGAGCAGCTGGGACAGTAACCTGCATCCATATGGAATGCCAGCACTTGCAAGTGGAGGATTAGACTATTGAATCATGGAGCTAGCCCCATGCAAAAGGGCAGAAAGGTTCACATAGGGTAAAGGTTCCAAGTGCTTGACCCGTGTAAACCGAAAGACGTGTGGAGGCTAAGCCCAAAGTTACAGATACAGGGAATACAACCGAATGTGTGCATTTGAACCGGGCAAATGCTGTTGAAGTGAATGGAGGTCCAGTGTAACTGGTACCGTGTGCCAGAGCTCAGTTTCTCCGAGCTTAGTGCAGTTCCTCCACAGCAGCCATAAAATGATGCAGTTGCTTACTTTACTCTGATTACTACAGAATATTCAGGTCCTCATGCTGCTTGCTTAGTGCAGGGAGGACATTTGCATGTTCCTTCCACCCACTTTTTTTTCTCCCAGGTCAATTGCAGGAACATTGATACTGTTGGGCTCCACTGTGCTCATAAACACGTATGAAATGATGACGTTGTATTTTGCTCACTAATGTTTGCTTGTTTAAGCATTCGAAGAGATCTTTTGGAACGTAAAGCATAAAATTCAAACACTTCTTGTAGGAAAAGCTCCCTCCAGGCATACAGGCGTGGGTGGCTGGAAGATGCTGGCAGAAGATCCCATTTACCTCTCGGAGGTAGCTGAGTGGCCCAGCACTGATGGCCTAGCAGGCCCCTCAGGCATGCTGACTGATGGCATAGATGTGGGTCATTGGTCTAGGCTGCCTGTTCTCCCTGTGACCACAGAGCCCTTTAGCGCTGTGAGTGAAATTCCTTCTGCCTGGTAATTAGAATGGGACTAGATTATGGAGAATTTTTCACTCTGGCTTTCAGAGATTCCTGAGGCAGTGGGAAAGCATAGAGAAGCCGGTGCTGGGAGGTTGTGTCGGGTCACAGTGCCTGAGACGGACAAGAGAAAGAAAAAAGTGAATGCGGGGATGTGTGTGTGTTTAGCTCTTGGACCACGCTCGAAGGCTTGTCATGTAGGCAGCAGATGGGAACTTGTGGGTAGCGGAGGGTGAAGGTGCTCTTTAAAGATTTTGTGAATGTGGTAAATACTTACTCAGTGTCCAGTATGTTAGGATGGACACTTGGGCATAGAGTAGTGACCAAGCAAAGCCCAGTCTCCCAAAAGGCTTTAGGGTTTAATGGAGAAGATGTTGGTATAACGAGTGAGGACATGTTTTTGGTGAATGTCCCAACAACAGAGTTCTGGGCATGTTTAGCCTCCTCTGGTAGCCTGAGGGTTTTGGTGGGAGTGGAAGAGACCTAAGAGGGCATCTGTGTGGGGGAGGGCACTGAGAACAGAGGTCAGCCGGGGTGGGGAATACGGGAGCCAGCCGAGCTCACCAGGATAAGGCTCAGAGGCAGGATTTGGGACTTGGTTGGAGGGACAATGGAAAGTCATTGAAGGGGCTGGACTGGGGGAGGGTGTGTGTGATATTTGCGTTTTGAGAAGATCCCTCTAACTGAGAAACAGGGTGGAGACTCTCAGGGAGAGTGTAGGGTATGGGGTGTTAACTAGGGAAGTAGCAACCAAGAGGCCTTGGTGTGAACAGGCTGATACTTGGCAGGTGTAGGGTATCAGAAAAGGGGGCATCAGGGGCCTGCTGGAGTGAGACCCTGGCAGGAGTGGGGGCTTGGCTGCGGGGATGTCAGGTTTCAGGTGCCTGTAAGGCATGCGGATTGAGGAGATGCTGCAGGCAGTCCTTGGAGCTCAGGAGGAAAGGCTGTGTCAACAGTATCAGTGTGGGGGTGTTTTATGTATAAACCACAGAAGTAGATTCGAGGGGGCCTTGGGAAGTTATGGAACAGATATTGCAGATTGGTGATCTGTGTTCTGTATTTGGCCCTCAGATGTGTGTTTTGGTGTTTGGCCTGGAATTAAAAAAAAAAAAAAAAGACGTAGGGCCCTCCATGGGGAGGAAGACTACTCCATCACAACCTGGACTGTGAGTTCTCCTGAAGAACCAGGTCGCCTGGCAGCTCTTACCCTGCTGGGCATGTAACTGGCCTTCAGGTCTCCACAGTCCGCAGGGTTCCTCACCCGGAGGCAAGGCCGATTTCGCTTACTTGTCTTCCCTATTCCACAACAGTTGGCATTTGCGTTCATGGTCCCTCCCAGAAAGCAAAAGGTGAAAGAGGGCCTGGGAGAAACCCAAGAAGTTCTGCTATTCCCAGGGGAGGGGAGAAGGGGGGTGCTGGTGAAGAAGACCAACTGACAAGCAGGGAGGCTGGGGAAAAGCCGGCGGGATATGAGGAGGAAGGAATGTGAACCCACCGAGCTCAGTGCTGCTGCCTGGCCAGACATGAGAAGGCTGTGTTCTTTGTTCTGGTCCTCTGGGGGTTCTTGGTAACCTTGGTAAACACAACACTGTCTTCATGGGGTGCTGGGGAGAGGGAAGGTTTGGGGCTTTGAGGGTGCATAGGAGGAAAAGGAGGCAGGGCCGGAAGCTGTTCCAGAAGTTTGGCCGTGATGGACAACCCATGTTGAGAAGCCACAGGATTGTTAGCCTGGAGGTTCATTTGGCTTGAACCAAATGGGCTTGGAAAACATCCATTATTTTTATTTAAAAATAGATGCAGAGTAGATATGTTACAGAACAGGGCCCCTGAGAGAAGCAGAGAGAGAGAGAGACTTCTAGAAAGACTAGATTGACGCTGTCCCTTTACAGGTGTTATCTAATGTGGTCCTCAGAATGAGCCCAGTGGCTGGTGACCCCACTGGCTGGATATGTAGAAGCTCCTTCACGTAACAGAGTGCAGGCTGGGGCTCCGACAGGCATGGTGATTTGCTGGAAGTTGGAGTTGGAGTTTGAATCGGGCTGTCAAGCCAAATGTCTGCATGCTAGCCCAACTTTTTTTCCATTAAGAAATCCCATTGTATCAGCAGCGTTTGTTGAAAAGACTTTTCTTTCCCTCTTGAGTTGCTATGGCATTATTGTTGAAAATCGGTCGGCTGTGTATGTGTGCATCCATTAATCTACACACTGCTGTTTTCGGCAGCAGCACCGTGCCCAAATTACCCTAGCTTCATGAAAGTCTTAAAGTCAAGTAGCAAGTCCACAAATTTAGTGCTGTGTGTGTGTGTAACTTGCTCTGGCTACTCCAGATGTTTTGCACACTCACATAATTTGGAATCATCTTGTTAATTTATGGTATAACACCTGCTAGAATTTTGACTGGATTTGTGTTCACTATTGTGTGAGCCTTTCCAAGAGGAATTAGTGAGTCATGGGTATCATTTCATAGTGGCATTGAAGAAATTCCACTAAGGTGTGTGATAGCTGGCTGAAGCTTCAGGGTGAGACCTGTGAGTGGAGGGGCTGGGATTAGATGATAAATGGCAGCTGACTTGGGCAGGTGAGAGAACTGAAGGCTTGTTGAAGAGTCAACCGCTTCTCTGCCCCACTCAGTATGGCTGTAGGAGAGCAGGCATTCAGTATGTTCAATCAAGAGAAGCTGGAATCCTAGGTTTTTATGTAAAGCTTTCCTCTCTCTCTTAAGCTTCTGAGGCAGAGGACAGGAAGAAAGAAAAAAAGATATGAAGGGGGAAGGGACTGCTCATCTGGCCTAAGCTGGGAGCCCACATGGGTAATTGGTACCTGGTTACTTGCACCATCCTTGCTGCCTTCCAGTATCTGCATTAGCAAGAAGCCGGAGGCAGGTATCAAATCCAGATTCTTCGAGAAAGGACATGAGCATCTTAACTACTAAGACAAATGCGCAACCATCATCTCCTACTTCTTAAAATTGAAATTTATCTTTGTTAAAAGAAGGTTAATTTTTATTTGGGAGACAGAGTTACAGAGAGAAGGTGAGGCAGACAGAAACCTTCATCTGCAAATGGCCGTAACAGCCGGAACATTTTTGGCCAATCCAAAGCCAGGGAGTCAGAAGCTTCTTCCGGGGTTTTCCATGCAGGGACAGGGTCCCAAAGCCTTGGGTCATCTTCTGCTGCTTTCCCAGGCCATAAGCAGGGAGCTGGATTGGAAGTGAAGCAGCCTGGACATGAACCTGCACCCATACAGGATGCCAATGTCATAGGCAGAGGCTTGGTTTACTATATCATGATGCCATCCACTAAAATTGAAATGTGAAACATTGAGTGGATCATTATCTTGTGGGCCAGAGCTGTCTGGAGGTCCCATGTGCCCCATGGGCTGCCTGTCTGTGCCCTATGCCCTAGGTTGTTCACTTGTTGGTACTCATTTTTATCTTCTGTAAATGTGAAGGTATGGAAGAAGGCTCAACTCTATTTCTGGTTCAATAATTCTGAATTTCTTGGAAGGAAAAGAAGTATTATAAGGTTTTTAGAGGTCTTTGAGAATACTCACCGTAAGGGTCATACCTGGAGACATTGTCCACAGCTTTCTCTTTCATCTGTCATTGGTGTGTTTGTTCATTCTTGATCCCTTATGCTGAGAGAAATGTGTCCAGCCATGTGAGAGTTCCAGTCACAGAGCCGGGCTTTTGATTTTAAATCTGGTGTCCTTCTGACTCTGCAGTCTCTGAAAGCTCCTTAAAGGGGGGCTTTGGTGAGGCGAGCAGTTCTAGGGCATTCCAACTTCACCTCCCTGGAGGTGGAGCCCTCTCTGTAACTGGTGCTTCTCCCAGTTGAAATAACAAAGCCTGCAGGTGAGCATGGAAGAAGCCCTGAAGGCAAGATCTCCAATTTGCACTCATCCTCGCTGGTGCCTGGCACACTCCTGACCAGCATCTGAGTTTGCGTGTAACAGAGTTGGTGTATGGGCTGCTGCTGGCCAGCAGTTTTGTCGAGAGAACTTCAAGACCAGAGTGTGAAATGCTGCTAAATGCTTTCAGAATGTTTTGATGGAAGGTGAAGACTCTTTTGGTTACTCCTCTTGGAGCTGGGGAAAATACCCCACATTCTCCTTCTCTCACACTGGACTCTGAGCTGTGGGGTTTGGTGACCAGGGAAGAATCGTGTCCCAAGATGATGTGTTTGAGAAATCAATGCTGCAGGGCTAAGGAAGTTGAGGCCTCCAAACAGATGGAGTCTGTTTAAGTGGGGGTGCTATGGTACTGTGGCACAGCACTTGGGTGCTGTGAAGAGGAATCAAGATTGAGCCAAAGTTGGAAATCATTGAACCCGGCAGAGGATGTGGGATTTCATGTTTGTGTCTCCTTTGCATGTATCGGGGATCTCCCACTCCCCCCCAGGAATAAATGTAAAAACCAAACAAAATCAGAGAGCTTTCTAGGCTTAGCAATGCATCTGTTCCACCAGCCTGAACTTTTTGTTGAGATCTCTGAGGAGAATTGGAGCAAAGGAAAAAGAATACAGCAAAAGTAGGAATGTGAGCCGAGAGCAGGACAGACAAGTGAGCTGTATGACTTTGTGCAAGTCACTGACCGTCTGTGCATCAGGGTCTCCAGGGTCTCGCGTGGCCAGGGGGCTGCATGGCCATAGTAAGCATCTGAGAACAGCACCTGGCCCAGAGCCTGAGAGAAGTGAGCAGGTGAAGATGAGCCTCTGAGATGAGTCTTTCCTCATGTGTAACCTTGAAGTTCATTTATTGATCCAGGAACAAAACTCATAAGGACCAGATTGGACCTCTTTGGGGGTCTACAAGACCTGTAGTCATATTTACTGCCTTTGGAAAGCTGCCATCAGGAAGAACTTCCCCAGGAAAAGGCAGATGGAAACAGCGGGGTGCCCTTTATAGTACTGGGGTGCTATATCCATATTCAGTGATCTCTCTTTGAAATACATTTTTTTTAAAGATTTAATTATTTTTATTGGAAAGGCAGAGTCGCAGAGAGAAGGAGACAAAGATCTTCCATCTGCTGATTCACTTCTCAAATGGCCACAACAGCCAGAGCTGAGCCAATCTAAAGCCAGGAGCCAGGAAGTTCTTCTAGGTCTCCGATGCTGGGTGCAGGGTCCCAAGGCTCTGGGCCATCCTCGACTGCTTTCCCAGGCCACAGGCATGGAGCTGTATGGGAAGTGGAGCACCTGGGACACGAACTGGCACCCGTATGGGATACCTGTGCTTGCAAGGGGGAGAATTAGCCAATTGAACTATTGTGCTGAGTTCAGAACTAAGACTGGCTCTTGGCCAAATCTGCTACTACAAAGTACTCTTTGATGCTCTTTGAGATCTTTGCTATCATCACTCAATGTTCTTGAAATGACTGTTTCTAGGTTCAATTCCAGAAGCTTCAGCAACTGCGCCTTACCCAGTACCACGGAGGATCCCTCCCCAATGTGAGTCAGCTGCGGAGCAACGCACCCGAGTTCCAGGTACTGCCACGTGTGTGCTTACTGAAGGCTGAATGCAGAGTGACAAAACAGCCAGCAAGTGTCCCCCCCACCCCACCCCCTGGTCCCCCAGCATCAGCCTCAGCATCAGGCCTCCCAGGATAAGCCGGTCTGAGGGAAGCTCAGTGGCTCAGGAAGTTCATGCGTATTCTGTGTCATGCTTCCTTCAGCACAGTGTTGTGCTTTTACCAGGCCAGCTGTGAACTAACACAACATAAGACACAGAGGTCATTGAGAATTTTCTAGTAGCCTTAGTAAAGAACATTAAACAGATGGAATTCACTTTAATAGCAATTAAATAATTTTAAAAATTGTTTGTGATCAACATAAGAAACATAATGAGCTACTTCACACACTTTTGTTGGCAACTTGGTTCATCTTGGTGACCCTGTGCTTTAAAAATACTCTCTCCTTCCTCAGCCTTAGAAACTGGGGTTCCTTGCTTGATGATGCCATTCTTTACACTGGAGACTTTGATTTTGAGAGTGCTCATAGGAACCATTACTGCAGGAGAGGTTAGGAAAAAGTAAAGTAGCAAAATACTTGTACCCGCCTACACTGGAATCTTGTCTGTAATGTAGTGGCGTTGAAATCTTACACAGTACTGCCCGTGTAAGAGATACCTTTGTAGACGAAGCAGTCTGTATATCGGCCAGTGGGACATTCAGTACAGTTTTGCTTTACATTGGATTTCATGCTTTGGAAGACAGGATGCCACTGTGGGTGTTGGTGTGGGGTAAGCTACCACTGGAGATGTCCACAGCCTATACGGCAGTGCCAGTTCCAGCCTCAGATCCTGTGTTGGGCCTCTTGTCCATCTTCCTGCTAAATGCATTCTGGGAGGCAGATGAGAATAGCTCAGGTGCTTGGGGTCCTGCCATGCAAATAAGGAACCCTGATGAAATTCTGTTCTGGCTTCAGCCCGGCCTGGCTCGGATTACAGGAGGCATTTGGGGAAATGAGAAATAACACATGGGGGATAGAAAATCTCCGTCTTTGTCTGTTTCTCTCTACCCCTCCTCTCTTTCGGTTGCTGTGACTTTCAAGTATGTGAAAATAAACATTAAAAAAGAAGAGGACATATTCTTGGTTTGCTGTGTTTAAGATGCCAGTTTTGCAATACTTTATTGTTATCTTTAGGAACATTTATTGTGATTCCCTCCCTGCTATTATGATGGGGAATGGAAGAAATTGATATTTCTTGGTTTTGCCAGGATTCTTTTTATTTTTTCCACAGGTTGAACATCCCTAATCCAAAAAAATGTAAACCCTGAAATGCTCTGAAATCCATTAGAGTGGCATTTCAAATTTTAAACTTTCAGTTCTAGTTACTCAACTGGTGAAGTCTATACAAATTTTCCAGAATCTGAAAAACTCTCAACTATGGGGTCACTTATGGTCTCAAGGCATTTTGGATGAGGGATACTCTGCCTTCACTGTTGACCTTGAATCAATCCCCAGGCCCACAGGGAAGTTGGTTGTATGACCCACGTAGCTTTCTTTTCCCTTGAGAGTAGGTGACTGGCCTGATGCCCTGGAGCCCCCACATATTGCAAGGAGCTTGCTGGCAGCCGACCCAAGGAGAGTATAGACATCAAGCGGGGAGCTGTTGACTCCCGCCCCTCTCCTTCCAGTGTCACCAAATGTCCCTCAATGGTGTCAAGAATTGCCTGTGGTTGGTCCCTTTCCACTTGGGATAGTTCCCGAGTCTCTTTTGACCCTATGATCTTGCCAATTTTGAGGATGATAGGCTGGTTGTATGTGCCCTGTACCTCAGGAGAGCTGCGTGGTGTATTTTCATGCTGGGATTCAGGAATAACACAGATGCAGTGTTTGCCTCTGTGTCCCGTCGGCTGTGTGCTGTTGACGTGGCCTGGTCCTGCTGGTGTTCCCCTTGCCGTTCAGTTGGCAGCTCAGTCCTAAGTGAAGGTTTGGTGAGGAAGAACTTTATTTTGACCTGCAGTAAATTTTCAGTTTCTACAATCTTTACTCACCTCTGTCCTTGGTTTTTATGGTTCCTGTTTAATTCAATGGGGTATACTGTATAGTCATTCTTTTTATTTCGTTGCTAACATTATCTCTGGTTATGCCATCTGAACTGAGGGGGGAAAAAACAAATCCTAGAAGCCACATTTTTAAAAAAGATTTTATTTTTTATTTGAAAGGTAGTTATAGAGACAGAAGGAGAAGCAGAAAGGGATCTCTCTCACCTACTAGTTCATTCCCTAAATGGCTGCCAGCAGCTGGGTCTGAATCAGGCCAAAGCCAGGAAACCTGGAACTGTATCTGCAACTCCCACGTGGCTGGCAGGGGGCCAGGCTCCTGGGCCTTCTTGGTCTTTCATTGCTTTCCCAGGCACATCAGCCAGCGGGGAGCTGGTTTAGAAGCAGAGCAGCTGGGACTCCAACCAGTGCTCATATGGGATGCTGGTGTCACAGGCAGTGCCACAACCTGGTGCACTACAACACTAGCACAGATATTTATTTTTAGATTTAATTTGCATAGCCTACATGTTAGGTTGTTCAGGCATGCAGCTGCATGCAATCACTGCTGCAATGCAGATCCAGGACTATTCCAACAGCCGAGAGAGTTTTCTTATGTCCCTTTGTAGGGGGTCTCCATCCTACTGCAGCCTCTGTAAAGCACTAATGTGTAGTTTTGCCCTCATCTGGAGTGTCCAGCATATGGACTTCCAAATATGTAGTCTCTGAGTTCTTCTCTTACTTAGCCCATCTCATCTGAGATGCATCTGCATTGTCCCAGGTCCCTTGCTGTGGGGACCCCCACATGCTCCGAGGCTCACCACAGACTTGCTTTCTGGGTTCTGAGCCCAGGAGTCTGAAACCAGGAGTTCCCCTCCACCTCTTCCCATTCTGTTATTCTGTCGCTGCTGGCAGGCCTTTGCTCCCAGCCCTGTTCTACCTCCCCTGCTCTTTTCACGGTTTGACCTTCCTCCCTGTTTGCATTTGTATCCAAATACCCCATCCCTTCTCTCTTTTAAGAAAATTTTGTTTTCACTCTTACTTGAAAGGTAAAGGGATAGAGAGAGCTCCCATTTGCTGATTCACTCCCTGAATGCCATGGCTCCAGACTGGGCCAAGCTGAAGCCAGACACAGGGAACTTACTGCAGATCTCCCACACGAGTGGCAGGGGCCCAACTCCTGGAACCATGGTGTGCTGCCTCCCAAGGTGCTCATTCGTGGGGAGCTAGATCAGAAGCGGAGCTTCTACACTGACCCTCACCACTACTCGCCCGCCTCCCCCCAGACCCTCCCTCTCTTACTCTAAGCTAACTCATGGTGATTGCCTTTGCCAAGATTCTTTTTCCAAATGAAGTTCACAATTTCTGGGAGTTGAGAACTGGAAAACCTCTTTCTAGGGGCACAAAATTCAACCTGTCCCATTGTATTTCCAGTAGTTCATTCCTCTTTATTGCTGAGTTGTGTTCCTGTGTATAGTGTATTTAATTGGTTCATGTGTTACGGGATCACTTGTTGGGAGCTTGGATTGTTTCCGCTTGGTGAATATTATGAATCAAGATGTGGCAAACATTCGCATGCAGTTTTTGTGCAGATACTTAGTGGTGGGATTGTTGGATTATATGATACATGTTGACTTAATTCCAACTTAATAAGAAACTTCCAAACTGTTTTCAAAAGTGGCTGTGCCATTTCCCACCAGCTAAGCATGAGAATTCCACAACGCCTAGCATTTGATATTTCAGACTTGTTGGTTTTAACATTTGTGGCTGAAACACACACACACACACACACACACACACACACACACACACGGTCAAACTTATGGTCTTTTTTTTTTTTAGGATTTTATTTATTTTTTATTGCAAAGTCAGATATACAGAGAAGAGGAGAGACAGAGAGAAGATCTTCCGTCTGATGATTCACTCCCCAAGTGACTGCTGGTGCTGCGCCGATCCGAAGCCAGGAGCCAGAAGTTTCTCCGGGTCTCCCATGTGGGTGCAGGGTGCCAAGGCTTTGGGCTGTCCTTGACTGCTTTCCCAGGCCACAAGCAGGGAGCTGGATGGGAATTGGAACTGCTGGGATACGAACTGGTGCCCATATGGGATCCTGGCACATTCAAGGCGAGGGCTTTAGCCACTAGGCCATCGCGCCAGGCCCCAAATTTATGGTCTTAACCCTTTTTATATACCCTGTTCAGTAGCATTAAGTACATTCACATTGCTGTGTGGCCAATTCCCAGGACTTTGTTACCTTGCAGAGCTCAAACTGGAGCCATTAAACAAAAATGCCCCATTTCCTTGTCTTGCAATGGCAAGCAGCCCCGTTTCATTCTCCATATCTATGAGTTTGTCTGCTATTGGTGCCTCTCCTAAATATAACAGCACATCGTTTATCTTTCTGTGACTGGCTCGTTTCTGTTAGTGTGGTGTCCCCAAGGGTCGTGCATGTTATAGTCTGTGACAGATCGTATATATGTTATGTACCACACTTTTGTGTCCACTCCCCCAGGAACTTGTGCTGCTTTTTCCCATAGGCTCTTGGGTATCAGGCTACCATGAATCTGATGCAGATATCTCTTCACGTCTCACTTGCAGGGTCTGGTGTGTGTTTTGGTGCATGCCTGCAGGGCCACACAGACATTCGGTTTTGAGGGGTGGACCTCTGCCATGCTGTTCTCGTGTTCCCACTAATAAGGCACCAGAATTCTGCCTTCCCCACAGCCTTACCAGCCCTTGTTATCTTATCTTTTAGGCATCCTAATGAGTGTGAGGTGGTGGTATTTCAAGCTTAAAAAGTGTTTGTCATCCTAGTACAGTTGTAACAATAGCCCAGTGGGATGTTAACTTGCATTCTCCCACTCATGTTGAGCATCTTCTTGTATGCTTACTGACATTGTTTTTATGTCTTCCTCAATGTATTCTTCCTCTGTATTCTTCTAAAGGTGTTAGAGTTGCAGGGTTTCCACTTACAGAAGTTTTTAAAAATATGGTGCCAAGTGT